GTTTGAATCCCAAGTCCAAGTCTTTGGTACCAAGTCCCAAGACCTACGGTAAGTCCGAGTCTCTATTAAAAATAAGCTTCCCCCCCCCCCAGAAAAAAAGGGAACAGGTGGGTTCCAAGTCACAAGTTGAGTCTAAGTCATTGAAAAAATACCCTAAGTCAAGTCACTGGTGCAACTTAAGTCCGACTTGACAGTGAGTCCCGCAACTACAGTCTGCACCCTTGTTTGTCAGGAGCTCCTGGAACCTGAGAGGAGCTCCTAAAGGGGCCATGTTTTTTTTTAAAAAGGTTGAAAATGACTGGCCTAGCCAATCACTTGGTAGGAAAAAACAAACCAGGGCCATGAGTGCAAAGATGCAAAAAGACTGAGAATCACACAGGACCTGCATTCAATTTATTCAATGAGCACCCTATCAAACTGTTGCAGGTAAAAAAAAATAGCAGTTTTATATGGTGCACCATTCAGGCTGCTGAATGGAACCTCTTGTCATTGTTGTAAATAAAGATGAGAGAAGCTAAGATCAATGGCACGTGGGACAGAGGCAACAGACTCCATCAGGGCTTCTCAAAGCAGTGTTTTGTTTTAATTGCAAAGCTATGCACCATTTTAGTCACAAGGCTACATGTCACTTCAGCTGCAAATTGCCAAGGCACAAATCACCACTTCAATTACCAGCCCCAACTTCCCCCAACTTGGTACCTACAACTCCTGTTAATCCCAGTCAGGATAGCTAATTTGGAGAATAATTCCACTGGAATTTCCATTAAGCAATCGTTTTATGATCCAGATTTTTTTTTAAAGTTGCAAAACAAATCACATGTTTTTTGAATAATTTCAGTTACAACTGACATCACACTCGTCTTTGATCAGAGCTTGAGTCAACACGAGGAAGAAAAACAATTGCTACTATAATTAGGTCTCTCGTTTCACAACACACTGTTTTCCCTCTGCCACAGCAATGTGTGTGTTTCAATTTTGGACAACTGCAGAGCTGAAGAATGTACAGTATAATTACAAATACAATCAGGCAATAAAATGGTGTTTTTAGCAGCCACCTCATTCAGGTTGTCTAATCTGTGCCCTAAATTTTTCTCCCTAAAAGTAAGGTTCACCTTTTTACAGAGAAGGAAATCAATTATTATCTTAGTCATCATCGCTCTGTATCATTTATTGTCTCAGCATTATAGAAGCTATCATCTACACACCAAAATGTTCTCACTCTATACTCCCAAGGCTACTCATGCAAAATGCTGTTGTTTAGTTATTAAGTCGTGTCTGACTCTTCGTGACCCCATGGACCAGAGCATGCCAGGCCCTCCTGTCTTCCACTGCCTCCCAGAGTTGGGTCAAATTCATGTTGGTAGTTTTAATGACACTGTCCAACCATCTCGTCCTCTGTTGTCACCTTCTCCTCTTGCCTTCACACTTTCCCAACATCAGGGTCTTTTCCAGGGAGTCTTCTCTTCTCATGAGATGGCCAAAGTATTGGAGCCTCAGCTTCAAGATCTCTCCTTCCAGTGAGCACTCAGGGTTGATTTCCTTCAGAATGGATAGGTTTGATCTCCTTGCAGTCCAGGGGACTCTCAAGAGTCTCCTCCAGCACCACAATTCAAAACATCAATTCTTTGGCGGTCAGCCTTCTTTATGGTCCAGCTATCACTTCCATACATCACTACTGGAAAAACCTTAGCTTTGACTATGTGGACCTTTGTCGGCAAGATGACGTCTCTGTTTTTTAAGATGCTGTTTAGGTTTGTCATTGCTTTCATGCAAAATAATACAGTCCAACTGAAGACTTAATGCAAAGCTGTCCTTATGAACCAATTGTGCTATATAATAATGCGCTCATCCTGAATTTTTAGAAGGGGAATGCACATTTGTCAGTGTGGTCCTGGACCACAGAAACTACAAATACTGAGATTTGGTATTTTAAGCAATTCCTCGCCTTCCACATGGGTTCAGGAGCATCATGGCAAGTGACTCAGTAGAAGTGGGGTCGCAACACCAGCAAACATTCAGCCTGGCTGTCTTCATTACATCATAACAGAGAAACATCTCCAGTTTGGTATTGCATACTTGACTGCCAAGATTTAAACCTTCTGAATGGAAAATTTGGTCTTAAGGAGAAAGTGGATTCCCTGTGACTACCTTATTTTTAACAAGATTTCTTCAAATAAGTGTCCCTTAGTAATCAGATTTTCAAATTAAGCCTGTTTGCCTTGTAAGCATACTAAAGTAAGGAGAATTACATTCTGTGGTAAACAAAAATGTCTATTGAACTACTTAAAGGAGCACATCTTTCAAATTTACACTAAGTGTATTGTCTAGTTTGACCCCAAAGCTGATCCTACTCTCAAGGATGACTACACAAATCTACTGCCATGCTAAAAGCTTTTTTTTTAGTCTATCTCTCTGAACTAAACTCCCAATGCATTCTACATGAATTACACAAAATCTGCAGTGCAAGTTAAAACAACAAAAAAGTTATTTTATTTTAGTAAGCAATGCTATTAGTTAGCTTCAAAAGCAAACAACAGCTCAACGCGAAAGATATATGGGTTTTTGGCATCCATCAGGACTTTCTGTTTAGTTGATTTGGCTGAGAAGAAAGGCCATTAATTAATAATGTTATCTCACCTAAATATTTGGTTATCTTAAAATCATCTGATTTATTTTGCAAAAACTCAAAGCAGCTTTACCAAAAGAGACAACAACAGGGAGGTTGGCAAGTCTCTGGGACTGAGGCCAAAGTCTGAGTCTTTGGTACCAAGTCGCGAGTCCTTCTTAAAAATAAGCTTCCCCCCCACCTGCAAAAAAGGGGAGGGTGAGTGGGTTCCAAGTTGTGAGTCAAGTCCAAGTCATCGGGGGAGGGGGGACCTAAGTTGAGTCCAAGTTGTAACCTGAGTCCCGTGACTCAAGCCGCCATTCCTGACATTTGCACCTCACAACATGTTGTTTGCTGAAATTGGGTAATGTTAACCCACAGTTAAGGCTGAGCAGAGGAAGGAGTAGGCAATGTATCTGCTCAGTCTGCAAAGCAGAGGTATTGCAGTGATTCACCCATACATTTACAAAATGAGTTTGAGCCGGAGTTAAGTTTTAAAAAAATCCCATGAACAAACTTTTGTTTCAAGGTTATGTTTTTTTACTTACTTTGTACAACTCATTTGCTGCATTTCTGCTTAACAGCTCCCCACTGTTAGTGACATTTATGTGACATTACGTTCTTTGGCTTTTATGAGCTCTCTTGCTATCCTGTCACTTGCAGTCAAGCGCCCATGACATCCAGTTCTCTTATTTTATCACAATAAGCAGGGTTTCTAAGGTCACAAGTAAACTAAGCAGAACTCTTCCAAACAAAAAAAAACGTCCTGTTCCCACAGACATTTTCAAATTGATGAAAAGTGTCAGCTCTCCATGAGAAAAAGCACCACTTATAATGAACCAATATCTACTGGAACGGGAGGGACAGTTTTATTTTGTGTTTTCAGCAATCATCAAGACCAGTCAACAGCATTTGTCACAGGGACTCTGCTAAAAGCAACTTAACTGCAGCCAGCAATTCTCAGCCCACTAGGATGTCTGGAAATGTCCACCACCCGAATGAGAACTATAATATCATCTCTCTACATTTTTAAGAACTGGTGGAGGATGGGGGGATGCATGCAAAAAGAGCTGCAATACAATGGCTCTCCTATACATGATGAACACTTCCAAATCATCCAGGAGAGAGGATCAGCTACCAAGGAAAGACTATTTCACGATAGCACCTTTATGTAGAACATTATTCATCATAGTTCAGGCTAGGGTATTATATCTCTGGCACACAACCAAATTCATCTCCTGATGTTCATAACTCATGCTCGGGCAGGCAGGAGTGCGTGCACACATGAGCGTCTCCCTTTGGCCCTCAAAAATGTGAAGTATATATGATGTGCCCCCCCACTGAAAAGTTTGGAGACCCCTGCTCTAAACCATAGTTAAGACTAATTAAATTAAGATATAAGGCTAATGAGAGACTTTAAAACTCCCTCCCATAGCAGGCTAGCCTGGCCCCATCTTTGCTGTCATTCTGCAAGCAGGAGAAGATCTTTTTCTTCAGGCAATCTTTCCCTGAGTGGATGGCTGCCAAGTGGGGTTGTTTAATGGATTGTTATACCTTACTTCTTTGAATGTGTTTTGCTGTTCCTTATGTTTTTCAGTATGATATTTGCTTGATCCTTTTTTGCACATATATACTCACTATTGTTAGCTTTAATATTTTCTTTTAATGTTATAAGCTGCCTTGGGTCCTTTTAAAGGAGAAAGGTGGGGTAAAAGTATTTTAAATAAATAAATAAAGGTGCACCTGGAAACTTCACCATCAGGTATGATCTGATGATAGTGGCCTTTCAGATTTTTCTGACCTATCTGCAGGACAGAGAGCAAACTTAAGAAAGAAAGAAAGAGAGAGAGAGAGAGAGAGAGAGAGAAAGAAAGAAAGAAAGAAAG